ATATTCTTAAGCAGATAAAAGGGTCCATCCTGGCACATGCTGGATAACAAGATTAACAACACAAAGCTTGTGCATTTTGTGTAATGATGGGTTCTTCTTGCTGTTTCTTCCTGTTCATTCTAGTGTTACTGGATTGCTTCACTTAAACCTGAGCAAAGGGACTGTCTGACACCATCTATAGTTTGGAACTAGCAGATTAAAACTGTTTTCTTGACTCTGGGCCATCTTGTCCTAGAAAAAGTGACCTCAGCCAAAGCATCAAATCAATTTTGATTTTTGGTAGTGCTGTGGTTGACTCCAGGGCATCCAGCATACCAAGCACTCCATTGGAACTGTTTTTACAAGGGCCTCACTCAGTATCCCAGTGTTGCCTGAAACACACTCGGAAGCCTCTGAAACAATGGAAGATTTGCTAGCTTGGACATTGAGAGGTGATATTGCTTCCTTTCCAGTGGTTTGGGAAAATCAAATATAGCATCTTAGCCCTTCAGGCATTACATTCTTACATATGAATGAATAATAAAGCTTAGAAATACCTCCTCCCCCCTTTTTTTCTCCTTAAGAAAGTTCATGTATCAAGAAATTCCCAGCCGGGTGTTGGTGGTGCACACCTTTAATCCTAGAACTAGGGAGGCAGAGGCAAGTGGATCTCTGAGTTTGAAGCCAGCCTGGTCTACAGAGGGATTCCAGGACAGAAAAGGATACATAGAAAAAATAATTCAACGGGCAATTACTGTGTTGATACAGTATTTGTTACATAATCTATATTTATACAGCATCTATTTCTACATCTGTGTGAAAGACAAAACTGCGATATATAGTTACTTTAGGTTTTCTGTTGCTGTGAAGTGACACTATGACCACAGCAACTCATTTTTTTTTTTCAAGACAGGGTTTCTCTGTGTAGCTTTGGAGCCTATCCTGGCATTCACTCTGGAGACCAGGCTGGCCTCGAACTCACAGGGATCCGCCTGCCTCTGCCTCCCGAGTGCTGGGATTAAAGGTGTGCGCCACCAATGCCCATACACAGCAACTCTTATAAAGGAAAACATTTAATTGGGGTGGCAGCTTACAGTTCAGATGTTCAGTCCACTATTATCATGGCGGCATTCAGTGTTTTTAAAAGGTAGGCTTATCATTTAAATCCAAAGGAAGTAATTCTCTTGAAGCCAAAAATAGATAATTAAAAACTTCTGCATTTATCCTAGTTGCCACAAGCCTGCAATATTTGACTTGAGTACAAGGTGAGCTTATTTAGCTAATATTTTGCAAAGTGGAGACAAATGAGGACTCATTTCTACCTCTTAACAGTCTTGACATTGCTTAAAAGTCTTACAAGATTATATTTTAAAGACATTTCCACACTTTGACTCCTATTTTAAGGATTCTGTAACACAAATTCTGGTAATCTTTTGTTTTCATCTTTGGGATTTTTGGATTACATACAATTACTTCGGAGAAGCAGTTACTTAATTTTTGTTTTGTTTTGTCTTTTTGAGACAGGGTTTCTCTTTGCAACAGCACTAGCTGTCCTGGAACTCGCTCTGTAGACCAGGGCAGGGCTGGCCTTGAACTCTGAGAGATGCACCTGCTTCTGCCTCCCAAGTGCTGGGATTTAAAGGCATTCGCCACCACCTCTGCCCAGCCTACTTAAACGTTTTTGATGTGTTTTTCGAAGCGGTAATTCCAGGTTGGCCTCAACAATCCATCCTCCTTCCCCCTGAGTTCTGGGGCTACAGTGTGCATCAAGCCAGTCAGGCTGAGCTGTTTGAGTTCTATGCTACCTTCTGTAAACTTTTCCAAACCCAGTGTGCACACTAACTAGTCAAGCGGTTGACGACAAAAAAGTATACAGAAATCCCATTTTCTTCTAAGAGTCTTGCAGGAAACCGTAAAGCCCAACTCCTGAATAGGAATTCTAAGAGGTTTCTTAAGGAGTAAGTTTTAAATCCTGGATCACACGCCTAACGGTGTTTCATTTCTCTTTTTATAAAATCGCCATCTCAACACCGCAAACTCAGAAACCTCGTAAAGATGATTCATTGACATTTATGCATCCTACTTAGTACAAGGACTAGAACTCATTAAAAATCCGAACCCTGGAGTCCACTGTAACACACTTCCTAACCCCTAGCAACTTCAAAGAATCGTGGCCGGCTTTAGGCTCTTCTAGTAACGGAAGTAAAGCGTTAAAAGTTGGAGAGTAATTCTGAGAAAAAGCAGCCTCGGGCGCCACTGGCGGAGGAGCCTCAATGTCACCCGAAGCCAGCGGGGACGAAGGGCGGAGGAGCCAGTGCACACGCGTGGCCACCGCCCCACGCAGACCACCGGGGACCGAGCC